ACAAATACGTGTAATAAATGCAGGGATCTATTATGGGGAACTTCTGAATCAAAAAGCAGTTATATTAGCAAATAGGGAATCATTTACCAAAAATATTTTGCCCAAAAATATTTTGCAAGGGGCACTTGGAATGAGAAGCATGTCTGTTTCATTTAATCACAATTTTCCAATTACTGCAAAAGTGATATAATGGACCTGAGCTAATGTTACAAGGAAAGCTTTGACAGAAAACTTCTTTCTTGTCCCATGACGGTCTGAGATTTCAGAAGATTTTCTTTTCTGTACTGGCACAAGCAATTTCTGCCCCTACTTTCTGCAAATGAGTACTCTGGACTGCAATATTGGTGACCGAGGTTTCAAATCAAAAGACTTTACCCCTGTGCCTTTCATATGTGCAGTCAGTGCCTTGATCTCTTTTATATTAGCTATCCTCAGGCAGGACTCTCTATCATCTGACATAGCCACTCCACTTTCTATTAATAATTAAACATTAACTATGTAAGGAAGTGAGAGAGAGTGAGTGGCCAGGTTCAGGTCTCTGTTCAAAGGCATTCATTAATTCATAATGCAAGTCTAATGCATAATTATTCAAAAATAGATACCCATGAATTTAAACATGGGAGCTGATGTTCTTCTTATGGAAAAAAACGGAGACTTATATTAACCCACAGTTTAACTGGGTGTGCCGATCACCAGATTATCAGTTCCACTGGGGAGAGAGATAATCAAGTCCGTGACCCAGTCTCTGACCACAGACTCCATCCTAACTTCAGAAGTTTTCCCTGAAAGTAGTCCAAGTCACAAGAAGTTTTTGCTTTCCTAAGTCAGCATTATCCCCACACACCAGAAAAGAAAGCTGCAAAGCATTTTGTAGCAAAATTCCCATGCCAATTTCAGTTGACACGAAATAATTGAGAACAAAAAAATATAGGCAGGGGTAAATGCCATACCAAGAAGATAATTTGAAATTTCTATGTTTTTTATATGACTAAATTTTGGCTGAAAGTGAGACTAAAAGGTGGGCGGGCAGGATCTTATAGCCTCACTTGCCTCAGCTTGCATTGAGGGTTACTAAAATTCTTCTGCCAGCATTCTGAGGTCACAGGAAGAAACATATGATAAAAGAGCTATGAGTTGTAGATGCCCCAAAGGGAGTGAAGGGCGCTGGCTTAACACCTTTGCAACTGGCTGAAGTACAAAACTGAGCTGGAGTTGGCGGTTGTGTATCAAACCATCATAAAGCCACACAGTGGCACCTCCTCAGCGCTTGGGGAGATACCGTTCCATCTTTCACATCCGCTGGCAAGGCCCTGTGATTTCACCACAACCCACAACTCCATCAGCAATTTTAAAAGCCACAGTACAAACTGTATTCTATACACATATCGCATCTCCAGCACAGTGGCTCAGTATAAATATATAGGCATAGTGACTCAATATAAATATACAGGTTGTGTGTGTTATAGACACGTTGCATAGTTACCAGAAATGAGGTAGCCTGTGGTAATAGCAATATTCAGTTTCACAATTGAAGGGTCACCCCTGTAAACATACCAAAAATACACAGTTACAGCCTTTGTAAGAGGGTAATTTGCAAAGGACATACACATTATCAAACACATAATGTCCATCAGGTCACCTTATTCTTGGCCCATCAGGAAGACGGTACGAGATTTGGTTAAGAAAGGTCCTAGTCATGAAAATGGATTCCTTCTCCACCCAGATATAAGACATCTACTAACAACCCTAATCAGGATTACTCCCTGCCTCTGGGTAGAGACTGCCCCGAGAGCCTTGCTAGAGACTAGATCGGAAACCCAGCAAGTACCCTGAGCTGGCTTCTCTGGAAACAGAGGATAAAGGAGAACGGCCCAGGCAGTGTCTCAGCACTTGAACTGACACTCTGCGTCTCCTTTTTTGTTCTTCTGCCAATGTTAAAACTTTGTTAAGAATGACAAAAATATCTTGCTCAGCTGGTGCTTTTCCTATTCCTAAGAGGATGGATGCTTATAGGGATAAACAGAGTAGAAGGAGACATGAAATTAATTATTTGCCAGTGCTTTGGAGCCAAGGAACCTTCAAGGAGAAATGCTTTTCAGAGTAGTTTCACACCTTCTGTCCCTTTCCTTTTGGTGCTGAACATTCAGCAGGCAAAGCTCGTAGTAGCACACACACAACTTCAGTTTCTCTAGGATGTCCAGCAAACCCAAACTTGTGAATACAGCTCAAGAAAGGGAAGCATCCACATTATGGCAACTAACATTTGTTCTCTCCTCCACTGTCCTCTGTGCATTCCTACTTTGAGAAGTTTGGTAAGCAAATCTCTTTCCTTTGGAATAAAGATCATAACTTTTTTTTTTAACCAAGTCGTGCATCTAATGTAGATACTTACATAAGTTTTGTGTAAGTATGAACTGAGCTTCAAGTGACAGGTCTACACATCTATAAAATGTGGATTGCTCAGGACACGCTGTGAAAGCAATCTTTGTTTTAAACCTTTTGAGAAAAAAGGAACCTAACAGCGCTTACAGCCACCCCCAATACAAAGTCTACCTCAGCTAGAAAGCAGTAAAATGCTATTACTTAGCTATTATTTTTTTAATACTGTTGGAATGAAGCAGTGGAAGAGATTTCCTGTATTATTACAATCTGTTTACTACATTTTAAGGCTTCCTTAGCATCTAACTGCTTCCCTGAGTGAGAGGGTAGCTTACAGGAAAATAGGACTTACAAAACCAGAATTCTGCCATTAGGTGAGGAGAAACATTACCAGGAGAGCCTGGAGCTCACTGCATCTCTTAAGATTGGCCACAGAGGCTCTCTTAACTACAGCTTGAGACAGGAACATTTTTCTGTGGCTTCAAAACGTGGTTTCACAAGTTACATAGGTTGTGGGCCGAGTGCTTCATTAGGCATAGCTCTTCTGAAAGTCACAACTAGACACAGAGTAGACAGATGTGTTCTCACAACTTTAGCAGAAACTCTTTAAATAGTTGCAGCCCTCCCATTAGAGCTCCCAGCTGCGGCAGCGGCAACATCATAACCAAACTTGAAAGCGCTCCCGACACACTTCAGCGCATCATCACCAAGATTGAGCCTGCGCTCGAGAACCTGCATATTCTTCCCCAGAGAAGATGCAAAGGACTGAGTATATCAAATTGGTTCCTTGATATCGGTAAACGTGACTTAACTGGATGAGACAGGGAATGATTCACTTCGCTTTGCTTCGTTCTTTCCATGAGAATGGTCACCTTGCAACAAACCTCTAGACTTTCTAAACCAACACTTCAACAACACGTACGGCTGCGCTGACCACCTGTCACCTGCCTTCAAGAAGAGTACATGTTAGAGACCCAAATTAATCTCAATTAATGGAAAACTTAGAATTTAGTCTAAAATATTCTAGATTTCCTGATCTCCTTGAATCACAGAATCACAGAATGCTTTGGGTTGGAAGGGACCTTTAGAGATCATAGAATCGTTTAGGTTGGAAAAGACCTTTAGAGCCCACACAGCCCAACCCCTGCAGCGAGCAGGGACAGCTTTAACCAGATCAGGGTGCTCAGAGCCCCGTCCAACCTGGCCTGGAATATTTCCAGGGATGGGGCCTCCACCGCCTCTCTGGGCAACCTGTGCCAGTGCCTCACCACCCTCACTGTAAAAAATTTCCTCCTTATATCCAGTCTAAAACAGGATAGTGCAATAGAGCTTATCAGCCCTGATGTCTGCAGCCTAGTTTTGATGCAAGCAAGAGCCAGAAGTGACAAGCAGGGAGTGACCTGGATAAGCAAAAGGGAAGAGCTCTCTGTTTTGTGATTGCTAAGGAGGTGTGTATGGCAAATGAATTACACATGAACACGCACAGGCAGATATAACAAAAGTCCACATGACTGACTGACTTCAAACTTCTTTGCAGATACAGAGTCATAGTAGATAAAAATAAAATGCTAAACATCAGACTTCAAAAAGCATAATGACTGTGAAGTGGACAGTCATACAAAAAAGCCTGTTCTTCTGTGAAGCTATGACTTAATTCACTTATTTACATCTTCCCCCTCTCCTTATCTGATCTCTACCACCTCCACATTTTCTATCGTGTTATTCTCACCACCTCAAAAACAATTTCTACATCATCTATGTTAGCCAGTCTGTGTTACATACAGAAAAAAAGGCAAAGTGTTACGAGAAGTCCTAGACCATCAAAAAAGTGTATGGACACAACACTGATGCTTCCCTGTAACTCATCAACGGTCCGGTCTGTATTATCCTCTGTTAGGAAGGATTGTATCTAGTTTCAGGCATTACCTGACAGTAATAGCACATCCTCTCTCCATCGAACCCGAACCCTTACCAGGAGTCCTGATCCCTTTCAAGACATATGGGTATCATCATTACTTTGCATTTAAGCTTCACGTGAACCCAGAAGTCAGCCTGACACACGTAGAGGCTCAGAACTGGTGATTTTCCATTATAGGTATCCATATCTTTAAATTCCACAGAGAAGAACTGATTGGATACTGTCATACAGTCAATGACTACACAAAGATGGTGGCAATAACTAGAGGGAAAGA